TTAAAACTCTTATCGCGAGAAAGCAGGATCCCCAGGAAACACTGGGACGAGAGGAAAAAAAGACTGGTGCGCGAGGAAAAGGGCGAAAATCAAAACTTTCCAACGGGACAATCGTCAGAAAATGTTTAAGTGCTCCTCGAACGTTGCGCGCCTATATTACTTCCGGTTACGCGCTCCAGCCTCGCAACGAGATTAAACATACTCGTAACTTCAATGGGATACTTCCGTGGCGGCAGTGAAACAGGCAGACTTCGATCCGCGAATTCGGGGGAGAGAAAAACGCGTGCCACCGTAAAAAGTTCGCAAGGTTTGAACCGCGTTTAACGAGTGTAACGTGCTTCGCCGCTTAAACCAGCCACTCTAATCAAGAAAGTGGTCTTCTGCTGGTATCGCGAGATTCCCCACGAAAATCCAAAGTATTTCTCTCTCTTTTTACCCGTGGTCCAGGTCTGATTGACGACGAATAAAGGGAATTATACGGTGGCGAACTTTTATTTGCCATTGATACGAAGCGAGGAAAAAAAAGCACAACATCGGGACGGACTCTCGAACTCCATCTGCGAGCCTTTCTCGTGATTTTCTGCGGTCAGGTGAAAGGGGAAAACTGCTAACTCTTACGTGGAAGAAGAAAGAAGGAAAGAAGGTGTATCGAATTTTCCGATCGTGAAGAGGATTCGACTGGAAAATTGGAGAACAGAGCGTAGGATTCGAGTGGAAAATAATGTTAGGTATTCTGCGGTGTGGAGAAAATAAGGAAAGAAAACAGCCACCGAAGACTTTTTCGAGTTTAAAGGCAATGATTGGAATTAAGAGAAATATCGTTAAATCGAAGCACGAAGTGTTGAATATTCTTTCAGTGTAGAGAAATTAGGAACACAGAAAGTTTTTTAGCGTGTGAAAATAATAATTGGAATTAAGATAAATATTTTCAAAGTGCTGCTAAAGAGCTAAAGTGTACAAAGAGTTAAGAGAATTTCGCCTCGCGGTATTCAAAGGACACTTGACCCTGAGGGCAAGGTAAAACATGCTTTTGAAGGTGTTTTAAACGTGTCAAAGAACATAGGCGAATTAAGGGAGGCAGATTTTTCGATTTGGGCCTGTTCAAAGTTCGCTACACGCACCAGAAATTCCCGAGTCCAGAGTGGAGAGTCATTTCCAAAGAAGCGTACTTAATTTAGCGCACAGTCGCAGGCCGGCTTCTAATTACATTAAAGGATCTGCTTAACGAGAACAAATGTACACTCGGACTTGAAAACAACGTTCTCCGGGAGAAAAATTACCGCCGGAGAAAACTCGTGGAAATGTTACCAAATGTGTGGGTACTTTTAAAAAATTCAACCTCCTAAATCATTCGTAATCTCTCTTATTGTTCGTCAACTTTCTAATACTTCTTCCATACTCTTCCACCGTCTTTCTTTTTCGTAAGGAACATTCGTCGATGGAAAACTAGAAAGGGAGAGAGAGATAGAATGAAACAACTGATTCCCCATTGTCGACTCTCTGGCGCAGAATCGAGAGCAATCAAGTTGCAAATCATGCGGCACCGGTCGAATCGTTATCACCGATGGCGGGGCGGTATGTAGCTGCGAATCGAGCCTAACGCAGCAACGCGCTCGTGCATCACACTCAGGAGAGAATGAATCTGCCAACGGTGGCTCCTCGTTGTAACAACGTTGCACGCCGACTCGGTACGAAAAGTACGTCCGTTAAAACAAACGTTAATTCCCATGGTAGAACGCGTAACGACTCGCGCCGCGACCATTACCTAAAGCTGCACGTACCTGTACCTACATACGTTCCTGTACGACTGAAACAGCCCGTATGGTCACGAGATACATAACGCCGAATCTGGGTTAACGTCGGTCTTGGGCGCGCTCGGAACAACGAACATGGGAATCCTCGCGGCGTGCAGATGTGTCCTGTCGAAAGTGACTCTGTTGGGCTTTCAGGGACTCCTTGTTTCAAACGAGGGGAAGAGATTGCAGCAACTGATAAAACTCTGATACACTTGGCTGGTAGATTGGATTTCTTGACGATGCAGGTCTATGACGCGTATTCGTTGAATTTAGTTTTCTTAGTTTTTTGCGATGTGATTGAGTGAAACTTTAGAGAAGAGGGGTTTTAGGGTTTTCGCGCTAACTTTGGGCGACGTGAGTCAGTGATTTTAATATTGTCGACACGGAGCGCGTTCGAATTTGATTATAGATAAAACAGATTTTGCGGAGATTACAGCTGTGTTTTTGTTAGTTGCGTGCCTAAAGCTGGCCTGTAAACGACCGAAGGTCGAAAGAATGGTTGAAGGGACAAAATTAAAAAATTTTCGAATTTTGTGGGAAAATCTGTGATGGAATTGGGAAGATTGTGGTCAATTTCTTTTATTTTCAATTGCACGGATTTTGGTAGCTTAAATATAATTTTCTGTGCCTTATAATTACACCGAATTCATCCAAGCAATTTTACGGCGCAATCTTCAAGAAAACACCTGTCTATGATAGAAGTGAAAAAAATGTTCAAACGAAACTACCACGGGCATCGAAAGAATAAATTTCGAGCAGGTTGCACCTCGAAATCTTATAAGAATTTCAATAAAGAACCAGTTTCCCCACGCACTAAATAACTGTCCCACCTTCAAACTCACAAATTTCATCTCCCTTATCCAAAGTCGTTGGAGAAACTCCACTTTTACCCCTGTCGCGAGCTGAAATGTTGTTACATCGGGCTGCTGCATCGAAATCGAAGGATCTCCAAAGGAAGAGAAAAGCAAAGACGGGGGGGAAAGGAGGGGAAACAGAGTGTCCGGACAGACTAAAGGGGAGAATTATAGGAGGCTTTAAATATTTATCAAGCCGTGGGCCAGTCTACAGGCGGCGAGCTTTGACAAAGAACAAGAGACTGCTAATGAATCCAGTTGGCCAGGGGTAAATTCTTTCTCTTCTCTTTCGTCGCGAAACGATATAAAAGGGAAGTGGCACGCGAGCTTCTCTCCACCCGACCAATCTCCCTTTCTCGATCCTCCGAACGTTAAGGAATCTCTCCCCGATCGATCGTCCCGCCTTCGTCACTCGATTTATTCCCTCCTCTCATAACCGAAAACATCGATACAACGTTACCGCAGCAGCGAGACCTCTTCCTTTTTCTCCCTCTTCTTCTTGTTCTACGCCCTTTCGATCCAGAAGTTCGTTTCCTCCGGAAGGGAGAGCCGACCACTTCAACGTCGAAGCTATCGATTACGTCGGCGAAGGGAGGCAGCGGTGGAAAAAAAAGCGACGAACGAATTCGAGCGAACCAACGACGTTCGACGTTCGTACAAGGAGATTTCCAATTATCGAGAATAAGTCGGTGGAACGCTTGGAAAGCGAAATCTCAACGGGAGGTTCCATTGATTCCTGCTAGTAGGGAAAATGGGAGAAAGCGGGAGGAGGAATGCAAGTGTACACGGGAGAGAGAGAAGGAGAGAGAGGAGGAGGAAGAAGCAGCACAGTGGTCTGTTGAAGGGCAGAGAAGAAGGGAGGAGAGGAGGCGTACGAAGCGTAGAATTTTTAATCTTGACGAAGCATTCACAACACGCGGGATTAGAGAAGAGGGAGAAAAAGATAGATAGAGAGAGAGAAAGAGAAACGCGACCAAGAGCTCTGCGAAAGATAATATCTGCCGCGCATACTTATCTCCGATGAGAGGGTTCGCCTCGCGGAGAATAGGGCGGGATTATTTATTGTCCTGACTTGACTTCGCGCTCGCGATAGTCCTCTCTGCTGTCCGCCGCGGTATAGACTAATGTGATTATGCGATTTATCGTTTTGTTTGCTGATGACTGGGAAGAGACTAATAGCCCGGAAGTTAATAGTAAATGGAAATGCTGCGGCAGATAGCTAGGAGGAGATAATGCTCGGAGTGGCAAATGGAAATACGAAATGGTGTCGTGCTTCCGTTTCAACCTTATATTTATTTTAATATAATGGTAGATGTTGTGAATCAAGTGCCATTTATATCAACTAGGATGAAAGAGCACACCGTTCGCAGTTTAAACGGTACAGTATATTAACCCCTCAACGCTCGTGCCCGTTACAGAATTATAAATCATGAGAAACTTATTTCTGCACACTTAAGAAACGATGGGAAAAAAAGTTGATCGTCTTCGACGTATCGCGTTGAGAAAAGTGTGAGCGTTAAAGGATTAACCCTCTATGGCGTTAAAGGATTAACCCTCTATGGCGTTAAAGGATAATTCATCTATGTATATAGACGCAATGAATGTGCAAATATGCTCCAAATGTTGATGTTCTTTTTTCTTTTTTGTTTACACTCATGTTCTTCTATTATTCCTGTGGTTAGTTACTCGGTAAAAGACCTCTTGAAGGCCGATCTGAGATCCAGTGCGCCCGACGGAAGGTTAATAAACGAAAGGTCCTGTAAATTCTAGTTAAATAAAATGTTGAAATATCCTTCGAAAAAAATTTGAGTATAAAATTGTCAGAAGGTACTCGAAGTATCCACGTTATCCACTATATCCACGTTATTCGAGCGTCGTTCGCAAAAGTATACTGCAAGGGTCTCGGGAAGAGTGAAGTCGCGTCGTCCTGCCGATCCCTGTCCACCCCTACGCGAACAGGCCCAGGGAAGAACACAAAGCGCTGGGCCTGGCTTCAAGATGCTCGCTTCACCGTCTTCGGGACGGATTTTATCACAAAATCAAGGCGGTATTGTATATCGAAGAAACTATTTGCACGTTTTATTTCCAAGCTACCTTGTATTCAGAATACAAGGAATTTTAATCCATTCTCCGTGACGTACTGTCATTTCAAAAACAATTCTATGCTTTTTTCCCTAAATCCTTCATAGTTCATTTGTCCCTGATCCTCGGTCGCTGTTTTTTCCCCGCGCTGCATCGCTGCGTAATATCCTTTCGTTCTTCTCTCGTGTATACGCACATATACGTTTTTTTTCTCGATAAGCTACACAGGCAACGAAACATCGAATCCTTCGTCATTGTTGTCACTTACCCCGTTGCCAGATCGGCGTGCTGGCCGGATTGCTGTCCACCTCGCAATTCAGGCTGACGGACATGCCCTCGACGATCGGAATTCCAAAACCAGGTAAACGCGTTATCGCGAACGACGGAGTATCTGAAACAGGTATTAAGCAATTACTGTCAGCTCTGGGTATCGATAGCCGTGTGTCGATCAAGCGTCGACGAGAGATAAGAAGGCTCGTGGATCCTAGCGAATTTTCCCTCAAATTTCTTTTCCCTTTCCCTATCGTGAACTCGAAAAGGGAAAAAATTGAGTACTTGGATATGTTGTTAAAAATCGTCTTTATCAACTCGACAACTAAATTAGCGTGAAAATTATCGTCTCCTTCAGAGAGAGAATTAATACAATAATTGTAAACAACGTTTGCTATTTTGATTGGTAATCAAGAGGACGGTGGTGTTTTATGATAGTAATTTATGACATACGCATTCGAGACACACGCGTTAGCTAATGGAAATTTTACGAACGATTTCGACCAATTGGAAAATGTTTTATTTACTTCAATCAACGAATATAAATGTTTTATTGAAATTGTTCTATGCATAAACGGACAAGTGTTACCTGTGCAATGCCGCGTGTCCGATATAGCTGCAGGAAGCGGCTGTTTTTCGGGAGAAATGCTCGTAGCAATGGTGAAATAATCACTGAGAACGATCCGTTCGACGTCGAAGTCTACTACCGAATGTCTCGCGTTTGCCTTTCAAACCTGATAAGCCTTCCCGTGTCGCGTTCGTACACACTCGTCTGTATATCTCACGTATTCACTCGGCTTTGCACAAGTTTATACCGAACGCTTGGCAATAACATTCCCGGACGGAAACATAAACAGACGCTGGCCGATGTGAAACCAAAGCGGCTTCGTTCTAACAGTCCTACATAATATCGTTGACAACAATTCGTTCGAAGCAATACGATTTGTAAAAGATTTAAATTCGTGAAAAATTAGCTGAGTGATTATTTACAGCCTCTCTTTGATTGTGAAAAATTAAAGCAACGAAGCGTGTTAGAAAAAATTGACTAAAAATTAAGCAAAGTGGTCAAAGTATTTTTGCATTTGTCCACTTAATTTATCAAATTTGAGAAACCTCGTCGAATCCATAATAGGTGCTGTTTAATTAACAAAGTTTCTTTGCGCTACGTTTGCGCCAATGGTAAACGAGATTCGATATACCCGAGTCGGCAAAGTTGCTTTGAGGTAGGCAAAGATTTGGGTCAGAGACTTCGGTCCTATAAAGTATTTATATTTGTACAGTGGACCGCGTCGTTATTATTGTTTATTAAAGTGCGCGGCGAAACTGGAACAGCAGGACTGCTCGATGAGACCGGGGCTTAGTGTCTTAACACAAATTGCATAGTAACGAGGTACAGTAATATCTCTCACACTGTCGCCCTGCGTCGGAACCGAAAGGCGTCAGTTTGGGTAGAGGAGACACGGATTTCGAGGGTCGCAACCCCGCCTTTGTAGTTTGCCGAACGAAGACAAGGATAAGGAATAAAAGATAAGCGCTTTTATTTTTAACTTTCTCTGGATGAAAAAGTTATCAATATAGTGGTGAGATTGTTCTGATCACGTGTAAGAAATGCGAGATTTTGGGGGCGCTGTGGTGGCCTGGACTTTGTCACCCAGGAAGAGAAAGCGCGCGGGTACCTGAGGGTACCATAAACTAAGCCCTTTACCCGGAAAGTCGAACGAGGGGGCTCCAACGGTTTTTCGGAGCAACGCAGGATAGGACGCGGAGAGGACACTCTTATTATAGCCGTCGAGCGAGACCTCAGTCACCGCTTATATTCATAAAATAATACATTTTGGTTAATAGCCTGTCGTGTGTTCGTGTTTTGAATCTGTGCTAACACACGGTTAAACGAATTTTCAGTTAGAAAAAAGTTATATTATTGTATTACGAGATATTACTGTACATATATTATGTTATTATTGTTTATATATACGTACGACAGTTTCCTTCACTGTTACGCGGCAGAGAAAATCAATTAACGGTAAACCATTCTGTAAAACATCTACGCTTGGCGATAAACAGATACGAAGGAAAAACTTTGGAGCAAAGTTTACGTTCAAACGCTACCCTTATTTTCTCACAAGTGTGATCAAATTGTACCGTAGAAAAATTACAATAAAAAAAGAAACTCGAGTGTTCTTATCTTGAGCACACAAAAAACGCTTATTCCGAACACTTAACGTCCAATTTCCGTGCACATCATCGCGCCAACTCGTTCAGCCAGCGTCAATTACCTGGCGAACAGCGCCTCATTTCTCGCCGACAAAGGACAAAAAAGCAGCGGGCGAAAGACAAAAAAAAAAAGAGAGGAATATCGCGCAGGGGGAACAAAGGGAAGATCGCGCGACTCCGTAATAACTGAAAGCGAGCGGGGGCGAGGATGAAAACAGGCCGCTCTGCCATGGACATCAAACCTACTAATCGGCAAAACGGAACTGCGCCTCTGACGAACGAGCCACCCTCCTGGCCACCTCGTCGGTGTTCCTGGTGTGCTACGAGCGTTCCTTCCGCGTCATTAACGACCGACCTCGAACTAGGTGACAGAACCGGGCCGTATCCAGAACGTGGACGCACACGTACGCGGCTATCCGAGCAAAGGACACGTGTATATGTATATACATCTCTCTCTGTGTCTGTACACAAGCGATACGTGCGATGGAATCGAAAGCGTTCGTCGAACAAGCGAACGCGTTTCGAGGCCGCGAGTAATCAACGAACTGCGCGGAAGGACAGTGAAGATTTTACGATCGACGCGGTTGTACACTCGTTAAAAACTCTCCTCCTAGGATCCTCACCCCACTCGATGTCTGGTTCGGATAGACGAGAACGATCCTATGTCCGCAGCGAGGTACAGGCTGGCGCCTTTTCGCGTGAAATCAAAGGTTGCGGCGCCGTCCGAGCGTTATATCGCACCCCGTTCGGTTCTGGTTCGTTAATATCTCAGGGAACGTGGTGACGGCGAGCTAGTGTCTGGAGGGGAGTGTCGAGGTCGCGAGATAAATTGGTGGCAGCTGAAGGAAGGACCGGGAAGAGAACCTACCGGTTTGCGGGAGGAATGGAGACGAATCGCGCGAACGGCGAGAAGAGAAGAGGCCAAACACACAGAGAGAGGGGGAGGAAAGCAAAGAGAGAGAGAGAGAGAGAGAGAGAGAGAGAGAGTGGAGTAAGAGGGAAAAAAGGAGCGAGAGGCTTTTCCTCGCTCCGACTACCGGATGGCTCCAAGTTATTCACTCGGCTATAATAGTGCGGTGCTGAGACAATGCAAGCTTAATGAAAGCCATCCCCCCTTCCCGCACCGTTCTCTCTTCATCCCTCTACCCCTGCTGCGACCCTTCCATTCGTCGTACTCTTCGTTCCTCTTTCCGGCTGCACTCACCAAGTGCGGTCTTTCTCTCTCGCTCTCTCTCTCTCCCTCTCGTTCCTCTGTGCGTCTCGTGGCTCTTACTCGACGCCAACGGATAACGCCGCCGCCGCCGCTGTGTAGCCCCGGCGCAATGGCGTAAACACCAAACAAAGCAAACAATGAGACACAGAAGTGTCCCACAGACCTCGATCGCTTAATGAGAACTTTAAAGCGCCTCCGCAAACTACCAGTCTGTCTGTTTCAGACAGGATCACCGACTTACACCAGGACAAATGTGTGCAGGTGTTGGTGCACGGTGTGCACACGGGGTTCCGAAAATGTCTGGCCATACGTTACGGGTAAAGAAATGTATTTTGCAGCGGAATTTTCGCACCGCCTGTTGTAATTATTAATTTACCAATTTATTCAACTTTATGAAAATAAAACGACCCTTTGCATTTTTCTGGGGGGGTAAATTTAGGTAAAGTAAACTTTGTTACGGCGCGCAACGAAAGTTACAGGACTCAGGTTGTAATAACGTTTTTGAAAATTTTAAACATCTCAAACGTTTAACATCACTCAACAGGGCTGCAAGCTTATCATGTTCACCTTTTTACCATCCTCCATTCCACTACAAAATAAACGATCAAACTCACAGTTCGAGAACTTTCGTTACACAGTGTACAAATATATCACACTCTCCTAGCAATCAAAGCGTCCACATTTTCCCTATATTCACCTCTCTCGAACATCCCTGCTGCAAAAAAATCACCCAAAATATTAGCATCTCTCGCACGAGAATTCCTCGAAGAACATGTACCTACCGAGTAAATTTTAGTCGCACGTTTTCAAAGTTCATCCACGTACTTCTAAAACACCGAGTGTACAAACCCACACACGCCGCGAGACACACAGGTACACACACCTTACGTGCTCTCTGTCGCGTCGCTCTCTCGTTTGCTCGGTGCCCGATAAATCGCACGTCCGGGACTCGTTCGACGCGAAATTCCTGCTCTATTTCCCCGCGCTCTGTGTAATTCCCTTTACGCCGGTCATGAATTAACGTAAGACGAAAACGACGGCAGATTTTTGCCCCCGTCCCGCTCTCTCGGCGATAGAAGGGTGAAAAGGGAAGGAGAGAAGGAAGGAGCGTCTTCAAAGAAATTTTTCCTACGGTTGCAGGCGGCTGCTGGAACGCTCGTAAACCTTATACGGGCCGTTAAGCAAACCTATATACCAGGCACGAGAGAAGGGGTGAAAGGGGGGTTTTTGCCAGGGCACACCATCGCCGTGTTGCCCCCGACAGAGTTGCGTGGAGTTACGTGAAAAAGAACCGACGTACGAGTTCGACCGCGCGGTCGTGCACCAGCCGCCTGTAATTTGTATCGTGAGATAGCTGTTGCCAGCGACCGTGCTGCGGTCAAAGGGAATTCCGCTGGCCTGGAATTTCAGATGGAAATAAAAAAAAGAAAGGAAAAAAGTGAGAGAGAAGAGGAGAGAGAGGATCGAAACGAATCGAGGGTGACCGTTGTTGTTCTTCCTGCCAGCAGTGCTTTATGACGCGGCTGCGAAGAGCAGTTGTTTTTGAGTTCACGGATTTACTATTGTTTTGTAATCGGCGTGTGCCTGATAATATAGAATTTACTCGACCCCTTTAAATTTGCTCGTACCTTTGTCATCGTTTTTTTGTTTCGCGGATTTAGAGGAGCTGAGATTCAACGTCGAGGTTTGGTGTA